AGACGCTCTTCGCGTCTAGTCTGAAAAAAAAAAAAAAAAGGATTCGTTCGTCTTGATATATATAGTCGCCGGACTCACCCGCCTGCCACAGCGAGTCGTCGTAACGGTTCCCAAAACTTCTTTTTTTTCGGGTTTTTTTTTTCTTTTATGTAAATTCCAGTTTTTTTTTTTTTTTTTAATATAAAGCCCAGATTGTTGCGTTGGTGGGATTCTAAGTAGATGACAATGACCCATAGTAATAGGCCATTCGGTTGTCGAGATGAACCCCTCTGAAGAAGACCGCAGCCACGCTTTCTCTTATCTTTGCCCTCTCCCCCCTTTAGTCTCGTCTGACCTGCTGACAGGAGAGGGGTCAAAAGGGGGGGGACGAGGGCAGGGTGTATGGCGTTGCTTTTCCTTTTTTATCTTTTTTTCCTTTTCTTACTTTTTTATTTTTTTTGAAGGAAAGAAAATATCGCTCTGCGCAGGCCCTCAGTCAATGAGGTGATACGACACGTGGCCTCTTTAAAGACCGTCAATTTTTTTTTGCTTTTTTTTTTTTATTATTTTTTTAATGAGACTGCTAGATGATGTCAGGAACGATCTGTCGAGTGGACAGCTGTCGAGAAAGGAGAGGAGGTAGCCACATGCCCCTCCGGCTTCAGCTGCTGACAGGAGCCGGTTATGTAGCAGATGTCGTAAGAAACAGTGTCCATCCCTGGCATCCATTGATGCCTGTACCGGAGATATTCGGTTTGGACCTTTCCTACAATATTGTAGCACTTTTTAAGTTTAGGATATTTTTTAGATCGAAACCTTTGTTAATGGATATCTTTCCGAGTGAATTCTGAAACTCGTAGGCGACCCTGTGGGTATATTAGTAGATGCTTGTGAGTTTCTTTGTTAGTTCTAATTTGGTCCTTTTTCTTTGACTACAGAGACTATTTGCTACAGGGGAGGGGCTCCACCTTATGTAGAAGGATTGGAGACCTGACTGCCCTGAATCTGGAACTCCATTATTCTGTGTATATTGCCTTGGGCACTGGGCCCTAATATGATTGAGATTTAAAAAAAAAAAGAAAAAAAAGAAAGAGTGTGCCAAAAAAAAAAAAAAAAAAAAAAAAAA